TCTTGACAATATTAAGTGCCCAAGTACATTTAACAATTTATTAATTAGTTATAAAAAAAAATTTTATGTATATAGAGCAAAAATAAAATAAATTTTAAATTTGCATTTTGTTACGTACGTACGTAAATTACTCAAATTACCAAAAATATAGGTAACTGTAATTTGTACAGATCCGAATACTGCATACGTAAATTATAATCCGGAGCATAGCGAAGAGTTTAATGGAAGAAACGAAATCAACTCCCAGAATTTGAATGATATTACACAATTTGTCAAGAAATTATTAATAACAATAATCTTCACGCTTATCGTTACGTATCTTTATACATCAAAAATTGTATACATTACTTCCAGAAATTCGATCAGTTCACTCAATCAAAAATTCTTGAATTAACACAACCAAGTTGTACAACAAGGTACAGATGCAGGCGCAGAAAAAAATTAATATTTAACACAGCTCATTTTAACGCGAAATGTATGCAAATTTTAATCCAGTTCGTAATCGTTAAAAAAAAAAATATAATAATTTAGTATACAGATATATTTATATATATATATATATTTCAATATGGCTGAATTTGATGGTCCACAAATAGGAACTTCTGCAAATAATTTCTTCCAATCCGATCGGGACATTGCTATTCAAGAACGTAAATCTAAAAAACAACAAAATAAAGCTGGTGATCCGATTGAATGTACTTCTAAAGTTTTATGTATGATACTTCCTGAAAAGACTGATGATGTCGATTATGTTTATATTGGTGAATCCGGATTTATTGCAAAAAAAGTTATCTTATCGGTATGATTTATAAAAGAATTTATGGATAAACTAATTTGTATCTAGTGCATAATATCACTTATCCTCATTATATTTATAAATAGACCAAAAAAACTGTAAAGGTTTTTAAAGGTCATACTGGTCCCGTTACCTGCCTTGGTTTATGGTATAAAGATGGAATTGAATATCTGATTACAGGTTCTTGGGATAAAACACTTAGAAAATGGGATTCAAAGGTATTGTAATAAAACATATGTCATTGTATATTTCTACAAATTTAATAATAATTAAGTTTCTGTTCGTAGACAAAAGAATCTCTTTGTACTTTCAGTTCACACACGGATTTTGTGAAATCCTTAACAATTTCGCATAAAACATCCACTTTATTTTCTGGTTCTTCAGACAAACTTATTCGATCATGGAACCTTTTAACCGGTGAACCATTGAAAGTATTTAAGAGACATACTCGTGGGATCGAAGATCTCACATTTGATGAGAAAGAAACCTTTTTATTTTCTGCATCTTCAGATGGACTTATTATAAAATGGAATCCTTTATCAGGAGAATGCTTGCAAATATTTGAAGGTCATTTGACTAGTGTATATGCTTTAAAAGTTTTTGAAGAGGAAATGTGGACAGGTTTGTTTAATTATATATCGCGTACCGTTCCGAAATTAAGCACCATTAAGATTCGTATAATTAATCATATAGAGGTTTTCACTAAGTAAACCTACTTTTGACTTCTAAGTAAGTTATTCTCCAGGTTGAGACAATTCTAATGATGGTAAAATCTTCAAGATTAGTCCAATAGGACTCTAGCAATTGCTCTTCAAAGCTCGGGCGAGTTACGTATAAATTTCCCGATGGTCATTTCTCCGGCAGGCCATTTAATCAACATCACAGCGTGAAAATTCACTAACAAAATGTAACTGCAAATCATAGATTGCTGAATGGCCAATCGCTGTTTAGGTGGCCTGTCTGGGAAATGACCATTGGGAAGTTGAGCGAGACGTTTGCTAATGTGCAAATCACATAAACAAACGTCATCCTTCCGTACTTTGAAGAATAGTCTGAAAGTTCTACTGGACCGATTTTGATGATTTTATCACCAATAGAATTATCTTGGCTTGGAGAATAGCTTTATTAGGAAGGTTTACTTAATAGAAAATTATATATATTAATTTTCAAAATTATATCCAAAAATAAGCACCTTTACTAACAAAAAAGGGTGCTTATTTTCGGAACAGTACGGTATTTATTTGATAATATGTGATATATATTTGATAATTGTATTAAATTACCCATTATCATTTACATTAATATTCCGTTAAAAGCTTCAGCAGACACGACCGTAAAAAGATGGGATCTATATGTAAGTAATTCGAAATTTTATTACTTGACATATCTTTCTGATATTTTCTTTTTTTTTTCCTTCAAATAGACAGGAAAACCTGACATGTCTTTAGAACACCCTGACTTTGTTAAATGCCTTGCTATTTGTGGCCCTTATGTTATCTCCGGTTCACGGGACGAGTCTATACGCGTTTTCGATATTGGGGTTTGTATATACTGAATTTCTTATTCCTGTTGTTTATATAATAATAAAATTACATTATTATTATTTCGATATCTTAACAGAGTGGGAAATTGATCAAAGTTATTGAGGGCCACTTCGATGAGGTGTCATGCACAGCAATAAGAGGAACAACATTGTATACAGGGTCTCTTGATTGTACATTAAGAATGTGGTCTCTTACTGGTATGTAAAATTGAAAGAATGTTGTAAAGCCAGTTTAAATAACCAATATAATCCATATTAACATTTAAATAATTATGAAAGACATTACAAGTCAGGAATCTCAGCTAGAACAGACAGTTCAAGAAGACAAATCATCATCAATGCTTACAGAAGATGAAGAACGCGAATTAGAAGAATTAATGGAAGCCGAAGATGTATAATAAATTAATCTTCATTATAGTACATTTATTCATTCCGTATTATTCTTTTATTCTACAAATTCTATTAATCTTGCGTAATCACTGTCTCGTAAACTATTCATAAAAGCAATAGAAAATTAGATTTACTAAATATTATAAAATAAAGTTTATGTGTTATGCCTGTTCCTTGGTGTTATTTTTAAAAAAAATTGATAATAAATTTAATAAAAAAAAAACTAAAAATACACGTGCATATGAATATGACAACTAATTTAAATGTTCCCAATGTAATTAAACTCTTTCCTCATTTATATACTTTCATTTTAAGTATATATCCACGACAAAAAATATTGAATTATACCTAAGCCTCCTCTTCCACTTCAGCTTTCATCTCAAACAAAATGTCATAACATTCATTCAACAAAGCCATAACGACACCTTGTCCTTCCGGTATTGATCCATCTGTGTCTAGAAACTTACCATCTTTGCGAAGATTGTCAATAGAAGCAAGTTTCATCTGATAATGATATAATTCTCTGTCTAAAAACAAAAACACATATATTCGTAATATTATAAATAAGTATCATTGCATGATAATAAATTAAGATTTATAATATATCTATGACATACTTGTAAATGGACCACCTAATTTTTTGACTTCGAGTAAGAGCTTTCTCACAGTTCGAAGTTGATTATGAATTGGTATAAGAGGCTCGGCAATAGGTTCGCTGGAACTTAATATCTTATATATTAATCGATAACATTTGTGCAACAAATATAGTAGAGTCTATAAGCGAAATATAAAGTTCAACAAGTGTGAATAAATAACCAAGTATTGATAGTATTGGTGAAATCGGTAGTATAAAATAATAGATTCATTAACATTGTAATATATACCGCTTGTCCTTCTGGAACATTTCCTTCATCATCATAAAATTTACCATCTTTTCTCATACTATCGATCTTTGTTAGTTGTAATTGATAAGACCATAAATCAGTTTCGCGCAGCGACCACCGATGTGTAAGCATCAGACGTTCAAGTTGTGATTTTAAATCGATCAAACGATCATATAATGGTCTTAAGAATTCTGCCACATTATTTTGGCAGGCAATTAATTCATGCGCGTCTTCATAACATTCCTCCAGTAACCCAATAACCTGTGCTTGACCTGAAGGTATACTTCCATCAGATGACAAAAACTTGCCATCCACACGTTTAGAATCAATGTCTCTTAGCTTATTTTGATATGGTATGATATCAGAAATCTCAGATTTGCCTTTTGCTCCTATAGCACCAAGATTTCTCTTGATATCTACAAGGGATTGATGAATGGGCACAAGTTCTTCACTCATATTTGTCACAGATTCCAATAGTTGATTCAGTACCGTTTCTATTCATTAAAATAATTTAATATTTTGTATTCTAAACGGGGTTTTTTTTTCTTAAAAAAAAAAAATAAATCCACACCGCACGCAACAAGTTTCTTCTTCAATAATTTCATTTGAGATTCTGGTATAACCTCATCCCGTTCAGCATCTATAATGTTTCTAATTTCGTTTAGACGATTTTGATATGCTAATATATCATCTATTAATTTTAAAATTTAAAAATTTATTTTTTAATAATAAAAAAAAAAAAAAAAAAATATATATATATATATATATATATATATAATACTAACCTTTTGTATATGCACCGAATTCGTTAAGATATTCTAAACATTGCTGCGGGCAAGAATGAGAATTTTCACCGTAGAATTATTACGAACTTTAAATTCAAAAATTACGCCCTCGAAAAATAGGCTTCAAAAATAAACAGCAACGGCGATAAAGACCAACCCACCTTGATCGTGGCAAGTTGTACGTGAGTTGCTGGACTTTCTCTGCTTTTTCCAATCGTGATAAAAAATAAAGAAAGTAGTTGGAAAACATCGTCAAGCACATCGTTGACGCGATTATCATTCACTGGAGGCTCTGTAGCTCTTTCGCGAATGTCATTTAATTTTGTAACTTGCTCCGTTACCTATGTTATAAGTCAAATTTTCATTAAAATTTCATTTTGACGAGCAAATAGATATTTCTAATGATAGGTGAATATACCTCGTCATAAATCTTCGTGACCGCCTGCACCTTTACAGAATTCTGCTGATCCTTCTTTAAGGCCTGTAGACGATTTCTTATGTTAATTAAGGCCTCAAGTATCGAAAGCTCTTCATTAGGTACGCGAGTTGACATTTTTTGATTATCTGGTTTCTAAAGGATTAAACGTCCGATTTTAGATTGTTATTTTATATCAGCCACGCAAAATATCAGTCACGCCAATTGGAACGTTCCAGTGAAAATCACTGGAGCTAGAGTCACTGGACTTACCGTATTTGCGCGAAATAACGCCTCGGACGTTATTTTGAAGCACAATTAATTCTTTAGAAATTGTCTTAAAATAACGCCTCGGGACTATTGCTACATATCAATATTTGGCATTATCAATTTAAAAAATGAAAGTTTTGAATAAGACCTTGGGGGTTTTATTTGTTGTTTAGTATGCGTAATAAACGGGTTAAAAAAAATCATGGTTTCTATTAGAGCCGGACAAGATCAAACGGGTTAACCCCTCTAACAAATCATTTAAGCCATCGGTGCTTAAATTATATGTATCGGCTAGTGTTTGTAATCGATAAAATTTTTACAGCCAAACCTCCCTAAATGCAATTCGTAGGGACCAGACTTTTGACAGCTTGCATTTAGAGAATTGCATTTATAGGATATTTGGGCCAGAATTAAAGGTATAAGCTTATTTGAGTCGATAATTTTAATTAAACTTAAGTCGGCTTAGTCGACTATTATTTGGTGTGACAAGAATCGAAAATCTACTAGAATTACCTGTCATAACTCTTTATTTTTAATTTACATTTGTGATCACGAAATTACAGGGTCACACCTTTCTGCAAACCGCCATAATTCTGGAACAACTGATAATAATTTACTTAAATCTGCAAGTGATTCTTCATACGTATTTGTTCATCATTCGCAAAAAGATGTGAACAACGATTCCCATATACCTATGTGGGAAATCGAAGAATTAAATTCTAAAATTGATGACCTCTGCAGATCATCGTGTAATGTAAAATCAGACGATTTTTCGAATCTCTGAAATTCCCCGCTATCGTTATCACGAAAATCGTGAGACATCTTTTTGCAAACCGCTATATTTAGAGCTGGGAAATTTCATAAATTTCCTGATTTGCAAACAGCTACGTATAATACTTCTGTATTCTTTTGTTCGATTTCTAATGGCTTTAAACAACAAATATTTATTCATGCTAATGCCAATACACGGGATTTTATGTTATTACATATTCATAGTCAACTAAGGCCGTTCTCAAGCACCTCACTCAATGGATCGGACGTAAATTTTTAATTAGTCGGAAATTAAATGTGAGTTACCAATTCGATCAACAAAATCAACGAGATACAAACCACCTTTTGGGTATTCTCAAGCAACTCCCTCAATGTGATCTGATAGTGATTAAGATGATGCTCAATTATTACAATTGATCGTAATAATGATTGCAATCATTGTTTGAGCAGACCATCTTTGTTTTACTCTATTATCGCTATGTCTTCAACGAACCGTAACAAAAAAAAAAGGCGACTATCCAACAAACAAATGTAACCTTTTCGTTGGCAACACCCCAACAAACCAATGTAGCTTTAGCAACTCCAAGTGCCCCAATTTCTCCTTTTACAGACTTTATGAATATTCATATGTTGTTACAGCAACAATATCCGCAGCTTTTTGCACCTTTAGCTTTGAACAAGACTA